TGTATGCTGTCATTAGAAAGCTTGTAATCTACTAAGTGTGTTCATCCTATTTGTTTGCATGTATTATTTCTATAGCTGGAGTTAGAAGAATAAGATATAAACTTGTATCACTGCTGTAAACTTGATAAGTGGAGACCATTAAGGGTACTCCAGAAACAATCAGTTGTAAAAAGAAAAGGAGTACTTGTGGCACCTTAGAGACTAACCAATTTATTTGAGCATGAGCTTTCGTGAGCTACAGCTCACTTCATCAGATGCATACCGTGGAAACTGCAGCAGACTTTATATACACACAGAGAATATGAAACAATACCTCCTCCCACCCCACTGTCCTGCTGGTAATAGCTTATCTAAAGTGATCAACAGGTGGGCCATTTCCAGCACAAATCCAGGTTTTCTCACCCTCCACCCCCCCACACAAATTCACTCTCCTGCTGGTGCTAGCCCATCCAAAGTGACAACTCTTTACATAATCAAGTCGGGCTATTTCCTGCATAGATCCAGGTTTTCTCACATCCCCCCCCACCCCCATACACACACAAACTCACTCTCCTGCTGGTAATAGCTCATCTAAACTGACCACTCTCCAAGTTTAAATCCAAGTTAAACCAGAACATCCTGGGGGAGGAGGGTAGGAAAAAACAAGAGGAAACAGGCTACCTTGCATAATGACTTAGAGACTGGGTGGCTAAGTCATCAGGGAAAAGCTTTACGTCATATGCAGGCCGCATTTTTAAGTCTCAAAAACTGGGGCTGTCAATGGAGCAGTGTCAATTTACAGCAAGGCCAGCAAAGAGTTTGGCCTTGCATTTCTGAAGATACTGCTGGCAAGAGCAAAAGACACAAAAACAGCCAAATAAAAAAAATAAATCTAAGTGCATCAGAAGCAGGAAGCCTGCCAACAATCACTGGGGCTACTGGAGGATTGAGGTGCTAAAGGAGCACTCAAGGAAGATAAGGCCATTGCAGAAATGAATTATTTTCCTGGGTCTTCACTGCAGAGGATGTGATGGAGATTCCCACCCCTAAGGCATTCGTTTTCAGAGACAAATATGGGGAACTGTCCTAGATTGAAGTGTCAGTAGAAGAGGTTTTAGAAAAAATTGATCAATTAAACATTAATAAGTCACCAGGACTAGGTGCTATTCACCCACGAATTCTGAAGGAACTCAGATATAAAACTGCAGAATTACTAACTGTGATATGGAACCTATCACTTAAATCAGCCTCTGTACAAATACTCCTGGGGGAATTCTGTGCCAGTGCGCATGCACAGAATTCATGTCCCTTGCAGATTTTTTTTTCTCCCCCCAAAAATACATTCTGCCAGAGAGGCACTGCAATTATGCCTTTCACCCACCAGGGGCTGCTGTGCTGCCAGAACAAAGGGCAGCTGGCTCACTGTAGCAGCCATCGGCTGACAGGAATAGCACAGAGGCTGCTTTTCTCACAGCAATATGCCTACAGGCCAGGTGAGGGGGGCATGTGATAGACAGAAAGATCAAGATACATGGGGCTGCTTGGGGTCACAGAATGGAGCTCATAAGGGCTAGTGGGGGGGGATAGACTGGGGTGGGGGCTGAATGGGAGTTGGGGAGCTGGGACACCAGGGAGGGCTGGGGGGTGCAGAGCCACATGAGGACGGGGGCAGTGGGTACATGGGGTTGAGGGCTGAGTGGGGGTGCAGAGACATATGGGAACAGGGGCAGATATGCCTGACTGAATGGGAGAGGCTAGGGGTCAGCCAGGTCCACATGGGGAGGCTCCCCAACTCCCTAACACAAAAACTGTTCCATACTTTTCCCACCCACACTTCTCCCACCCACACCCAACAATCCTCCAAGTTCACTCCCAGGCTCCTTCCCAGGAATTACTTCTCTCTCCTTCAGCTCCTCTGTTACCCGACTCCACCAAGCCTTTACACTGCTTCTCAGAGATGCATGACATACACTTCTGTATTGTAGTTTAAATGAATTACAAAGTTTTGTATTAATATGCCTAGTAAGAAATTTATTAAAAACATTTCCTGAATAATTTTTATAGTCTGTATTGCTACAGACCTACTTGTTGACAGGCATTTTGAAATAAATTACCAAAATAATTGAAATTATGTTGTGTTATTTTGACAAATAAAATATGCAGAATTTTAAAATATTCTGCTCAGAATTTTTAATTGTTTTGGCACAGAATTTCCCCAGGAGTAACCAGATGACTGGATGCTAGCTAATATAACGTTGATTTTTAAAAGAGGCTCCAGAGGTGATCCTGGCTATTACAGGCCAGTAAGCCTAACTTCAGGACTAGCCAAATTGTTTGAAACTATAGTAAAGAACAGAATTATCAGGACTTGTTGGGGAGAGTCAATGTGGCTTTTCCAAAGGGAAATCATGCCTCACCAATTTATTAGAATTCTTTGAATGGCTCAACAAACTTGTGGACAAAGATGATTCAGTGGACATAGTGTACTTGGACCTTCAGAAAGCCTTTGACAAGGTCCCCCACCAAAGCCTCTTACACAAAGTAAGCAGTCTTGGGAGAGGAGGAAAGATCCTATCATGCATTAGTAACTGGTTAAAAGATTGGAAACAAAGGACAGGAATCAATGGTCAGTTTTCAGAATGGAGAAAGGTAAAGAGCAGGCTCTCCCAAGTATCTGCACTAGGATCAGTGCTGTTCAACATATTCATAAATGATCTGGAAAATGGTGTTAATAGGGAGGTGGAAACCTTTGTAGACTCTACAAAATTACTCAAGATCGTTAAGTCCAAAGCAGACTGGGAAGAGTTTCAAGGGGATCTCACAAAACTGGGTGACTGGACAACAAAATGGCAGATTAAATTCAATGTTGATAAATGCAAAGTAATGCATGTTGAAAAACATAATCCCAACTACACATACAAAATAATGGGATATAAATTAGCTGTTCCCACTCAAGAAAGATCTTGGAGTCATTATGGATAGTTCTCCGAGAACATCTGTTCACTGTATAGTGGCAGTCAAAAAAGTTAATGTTAGGAACTATTAGGAAAGGGATAGATCATAAAACAGTAATGTCATATAAATCCATGGTATGCCCACACATGGAATACTGCACCTAGTTCTGATCACCCCATCTCAAAAAAGCTATATTAGAACTGGAAAAGGTACAGAGAAGGGCAACAAAAATGATTACGGTATGGAACAGCTTCTATATGAGGAGAGATTAAAAAGACTGGGACTCTTCAGCTTTGAAAAGGGAGGACTAAAAGGAAATATGATAGAGGACTATAAAATTATGAATGTTGTGAGGAAAGTAAATGTGGAAGTGTTACAACACACGAACCAGTGGTCACCTGATGAAATTAATAGGTAGCAAGTTTAAAACAAACAAAAGGAAGAACTTCACACAATGCATAGTCAACCTTTAGAACTTGTTTCTTGGGGACGTTGAAGGCCAAAACTATAAGTGGATTAAAAACAGAATTAGATAAATTCATGGAGGATAGGTCCATCCATGGCTATTAGCCAAGATAGTCAGGGATGCAACCCCATCCCCTGGATGTCCCTAAATCTGACTTCCAGAAGCTGGAACTGGACGACTGGGGATGGTAATTGCCCTGTTCTGTTCATTCCTTTTGAAGCATCTGGCAATGGCCACTATTAAAAGACAGGATACTGGGCTAGATGGACCATTGGTCTGACCCAGTATGGCCATTCTTATGTTCCTGTGTTCTTAGTACTTCAGTCACTAGGTGGTGTTATCTCCCCCAGTTTAGCATTAAACTGTTAATCTGTGCATTGCAGTGCTATACAATTGTTGTTTTTGCTCAGTTCCAAAGGAGATCAACAGAAGAGTTCAGCCAAGCTGGTTATTTCCTAGGTGTTGGAAGATCATGTAAGTGAATATTACCCTATATACAAGGATACATACAAAAACAAACTGATGTTTTTAAGTTGAGATATGGATTATTTTGATAGAAAGTAACATTCTGCTATTTTTGGTCAAAGCTGGTCTCAGTCTTTGAAGTAACTGCCACGCTTCAGAGGGGATTATGCAAAATCTTGTGGAGCCTGCTAAATCCATAGTGAAGGTGTATGCCTACTTGATGCTGTTCTGACATTGATCCCCCTCAGGATTTGCTTTATGCCAGGGATTGGCAACCTCTGGCACACGGCCCATCAGGGAAATCCACTGGCAGGCTGGGACAGTTTGTTTACCTGCAGAGTCCGCAAGTTCGGCCAATCGCAGCTCCCACTGGCCGCGGTTTGCCGTTCAGGCCAATGAGGGCTGCGGGAAGCGGCGTGGGCCGAGGGACGTGCCGGCTGCTGCTTCCCACAGTCCCTCATTGGCCTGGAACGTTGAACCGCAGCCAGTGGGAACTGCGATGGGTTGAATCTGCGGACGCTGCAGGTAAACAAACTGTCCCGGCTCGCCAGCAGATTTCCCTGACAGGCTGTGTGCCAAAGGTTGCTGATTCCTGCTTTGTGCCATTGAGTGCAGCCCTCTTTTTGCTAAGCTCAGCTGAGATGTAAAGTCTGAGGCCTTGTTCTGCAGCATTATTAGGAGAGCAGCAGCCATGAGAGAAGCAGCAGAAAGTCACATCTTCATAGTCCATCTAAATTACATTAAAACAATGTTATATCGGACTGTTAAGAATGTGTTCCTGTCCTAAGAGTACCCACCACCACCAGATAAAGAAACAGATCTTAAGATGTTTAAAGAAAACTGATTGATAGCACTCTCTCTGGCAAGGAATCACTTATCAAGAGTTTTGATTGTGAAATCTATACTTCTGTATTGTTTTGCCTTTTTGGTCCCCACTCTTTATTGCTTATCTGCATGGTTTCTGTCTGGTTCTTTCATTGTTTCTGTCTGTTGCATAAGTAATTATGCAAGTTTTAAATCAGCTAAGGTGGTGGGGTATTATTGGTTAAAGAATTATTTTTGCACTATATTAGGATTGGTCAAAGAATTATTTTGTAATATTTTAGTAAAATGATTGGTTAAGGTATAGCTAAGCAGGACTCGTTTCACTATATAAACTGGGGGTCCAAGAAGACGACCAGCTGGGAAAAGGAAAGAAAGAATAAGAAAATACCTGGAAGAAGAACTAATCACCTCCAAGACATAGCTCAACATCAGAGCTTCTAGAATCCTATGCACGACTGTGACATGCAGCAACCAGAACCCAGATGAGACTGACCTTGCCTGGCCAACAGGGAAAGACCGCCTCCGTGATCAGGATTGGTGAGCACAGCATGCTTGGTGTGTGTATTCTGCTTGGTCATTGTTAATAAACAGAGGTTAAAGATATTGCTGTGTAAGGCTCTTTCACTGGTAGAAGGTCCTGCAAACTGTTGACCTGAATTTGTTGGGTTAGTTGTTATGGCTCGACACTGATCGCATCCAACCAGAAGATATATAGGTTCTTGTCCAATCCAGACAACAGGGTATGAGAACTCAGAGAGTTCTATATTAGGAGAGGACTCTCGGGGTGCCTGGCAAAAACACTTATACTGAGGACAATACCAAATTGATAAAAATTTTATTGAGGTTAACAAAAGAATAATAAAAGCTATGAAACTTATAACTGCAAAACAGTAAAAGAATTCCAAAACTCCTGGGGGTAACATTATGTATATTAACTTAACATACTCTCACTCTTCCTTCAGGACCTAGTAATAGGAGGTGAAGGACCAGCCTTACTAATGGCATGCCCGATAACACGATGGTGCTGGCTTCCCCAATAGTTAGGAATGTTGAGTAGTTATACTATACTGCACAAGCTGAGCTGATAGAACGATAGATGGATAGAACGATAGGTGGATAAAAATATTTTCTATAGTCTATAGACGAATAAAGAAAAGGAGCTAAAGACTACAAGAGAGCTCAAAGAGAGATGGTGGGAGGGGAACAAACAAGCAAACAAAAACCTTCCATATGATATTTTGGAATTTTGTGGGATCCTGATGCTATGTACTTCAGGCCCAACCTACTATACCCAAATCTTATTTCCGTACCCTAAGAAATTTATGGGTACCCTTATCCTATAGGTTAGTGGATTATTATTACTCTCTATATATTAATAAGGATTAGCTCACTCCAAAAACTGCCAACCTAGGCTCTCTTGGAGACTTCCAAGTTGTGGTATACCCTGCGGTTACCAACCGATTATAGATACCGGATAAACCTGTTCAGTGTTGTGTACAGTTCCTCCCTTTGGTTCCCCAAAGTTCAGGGACCATTCTTATCATGCCAAAGGTTACCAGTTTTTATGCTGACTTACTCTTAACTGATTATACTTTTAGCTATATAGCGGATTTTACAGGCCGGTAGACTTCTTGCATTTTAGCAAAACGTATTCTATGTATAATTATTAGGAAACATATCATATGCCTCAACACATCCTAAAATTCATAGGAATTAATACTGATAAAATATAAGAATAAAATGGATTAATTCAGAAAGAGAAACATATTATTTGATATGGCTGGCTGGATTAGTAGGATATAATAGCTAGAAAAGTAATCCTATGGGCTACAAAACCCACAGAACCCTGGGAATTGGCTAAGGGTGAGTTCTTAAATGAACCGAGTTACAGCTTGTGCCCTAGGAACTAGGTAAAGGTGGGTGCTGTAGAGCAGTGCTACTCAAAGTGGTGGTCCGTGGACCGGCATGCCATCAGCTGCCGGTCTGCGTGCACACTGGAAAAAAATGGCTGCCCCCCCCCCCACATCAGATAGCTTGAGAAGCACTGCTGTAGAGTGTGCAGGTAACAGAGAAGTCAGGAAAAAGAAATGTTGTGGTCTTTGTACATCAGGGTTTCAGCTTTTCTGGCAGCATTCACTAATATTAATTTGTCATTGAACTTCAGCAGCTTGAAGATGATGGGTCTGGGCTTGTCAGACTCCTGCCTTCTAGTACAAGGCATTCAATGAGCCCTTTCAATATCTAATAGAGGCAGCTAGGGGTCCAATTTAAATGTGTCACAGAGCAAGTTCTGAAGAAAACTGTTTATATCCTTCCACTCTAGACTCTCAGCAATACCCAAGAGGTGAAGGTTGCTTCTTTGAAATCTGTTTTCTAAGTCCTCCTGTTTTTCTTCCAGTTTTAGTCTAAGCTTTAAGAAGGCAAGTTCTTCTTTAATTTCACTGGTTTCAATGGTAGTCTTTTGTAGATTATTTTTCATACATCTTTATAGAGGCCATGAATATCTTTTGAGATAGAATCCCTCACAGACCGACTGGATTCAGGCAGTGCTGCAATATGCTGGGCTAGGTTCTGCTGTGGCCTGTCTCCCCCTTCAGCTGCTTAGGTGATTCAGGCTTAGGTCTTTTTTCATTGGAATCCACAGTCAACAGTTTGAAGTTTATCCAGGGGATTAATTTAAACTTTTATGACATAAACCTATTGCTAATTTGCTTGGAAAGTAATTATTAGAGACGAACTGATGTGGAGAGTGAGGAGGTCAGGGACTAGGCACCAATCTTCCTCACAGATACCAGGTAACACCCCTTCCCCCACTAGCTTTCTTAAAATTCCAGGTGGGTAATTTTCCATTACCTTCAGTCTTACCTTGTCCTTGAAAAGTAATATGTATAGAGAAATGATTGCTCTGTAATGGGGTTGCTCTACTCACAGCTGGATGGCGCCACCTCCTGTCAGTTCTGGGGATTTGCTTGGTCAGGCTGATGCCCCTTCCAGCAGTTACACCAGTCATTTTCTCCTCTGCAGCCTCTCTCTTGCTTCCAGGAGCTGCAGCATCCTCTTTGTGACTAAGCCCTCCAGCTGGGTCACCCTAAGTATTCCCCTTCCGTGGGTGATGTAACAGTCTTTCCCAGACAAGCCAGCCAGGCAGTCCACTGTCTTCTGCCTGGCCTGTACCACATCTCCAGTGGCTGGTAGGGGAACCCGTGCCTGCCCTCTACTCCAGGTTCCAGCTCAGGGGCCCTCCAGTTGGCAGCCAAGGCCTACATTGTCCTACTGTGCTGCTTTCTCCCTGAGCCTTTTCCTGCCTTCTTGGCTTCCCCCTTCTCTGGGTTTGCCAGCCTTCCAACTCCCTTCTCTCAGGGAGTGACTACAGCCTGCCTTCCTACAGCCCCTCCCTAGCTTCCAATTTCCTGTCTTTTGTAGACACCCTGCCTGTCCCTCATGGGAGAGCTTCTCTTTAATTAGCGGCCTCCAGCCTAAAGTGCCCCCATTTTCAGACTAATTAGCTGATTGGGCCCACCTGACCTAATTCAACTCTTGCAGGGCCAGTGTGGGGAGCACACTCCATACTCCTTCTTCCTTATGTATTTCCCAGTTTCATTTGCTTGCAATATCTGCTGTTATAACTCCCAGGTCTAAGCAAGAAAACCTACCATCTGTTGCATTAAATCTAAATCATTTAAAACCACTAGATTGTTTTCATCTATAAACTTTTATAGGCATGTGTCAGGGTTCCCTCCACACTCTGATCTCTGGGGTACAGATGTGGGGACCTGGATGAAAGACCCCTAAGCTTATTTCTACCAGCTTAGGTTAAAAACTTCCAAGGCACAAATCCTTCCTTGTCCTTGGATGGTACTGCTGCCACCACCAAGTGAGCTAGACAAAGATTCAGGAAAAGGACCACTTGGAGTTCCCATTTCCCTAAAATATCCCCCCAAGCCCCTTCACCCCCTTCCTTGGGGAGTACTGAAAATCATATACCAACCAAATAGGTAAACAAGGTGAGCACAGACCAGACCCTTGGGTTTTTAGGACACGAAAAACCAATCAGATTCTTAAAAACAGAACTCTATTATAAAGTAAAAGAAGCACCTCTGTAAAATTAGGATGTAAGGTAATTTTACAGAGTAATAAGATTTAAAACGCAGAGGATTCCCCTTTAGGCAAAACGTTAAAGTTACAAAAAACAAACAAAAACAAAAACCCAGGAATAAACCTCCCTCTTAGCATAGGGAAAATTCACAAGCTAAAACAAAACATAAGCTAATGCATTTCCTTGCTATTACTTACAATTTTTGTAATCTTGGATGCTTATTTCAGGTAGAGTTTTAGGAGATGGTTTTTCCCACCCTGGTTCCTCTCTGTCCAAGAGAGAACAACAAAGAGCACAAAACAAAACCTCCCCCCACAGATTTGAAAGGATCTTCTTCCCTTATTGGTTCTTTTGGTCAGATGCCAACCAGGCTATTTGAGCTTCTTAACCCCTTACAGGTAAAGGCGGGATTTTATGCTACCCTTAGCTGTATGTTTATGACAGCGTGTGCCAGTACATCAGTTGTCCTACTTCCCCACAACTCATTATGGCGGTTTAGGTCACCACATATAACGTGATCTTTTAGAGTTCATCACTATTTCTTGTAATTCCAAGCTTTCTAATTTCCCACATTGGTTATAGATATTATAAATCCTTAAAGAAATATTTCTCTTCTGCATTGGGATCTCAACAACGTTATGTCTGAGACTTATTTTTCATTCGCTATTTCTATGTAGTTTGATCCTTCCTTTATGAAAGTTAAAACACTTCTTCCGCTACCTCGTTTTCAGTCTTCCCTAAACACAATATACCCTGAAATTTTAAAAACAAGATTTTCAACCAACCATGCTTCTTAGATATGTGAGATATCTGGTTTAGTTCTTATTTCCCATATTTTTCTTTTAGTTCTTGCATTCCAATAAAAGATTGTGATTCCCATTCCAGTCATATTTCACCATTACCCTCATTCAATATTTCATGAATACAGTCCACTGACAGATTTATAACATATACGTATTTTTCCACTGCCCTTGCTATAATTTTCATTCTTCTCTGATTTCTCCCTGTTTACAACGTGCAATTTATCATTTCTATCTTCAATGCAATAAGCCTCTTTTTTCACAGTTAATATATCATCATCTGTTCCTTCTGCAGTGTTAATCATATTCGTTATGGAATGAGGCTGTATCTGTAGTTCCCCTTTTCCTGTGCTAATTTTCTCTTCCTTTTCCATCTGATGTTTGGGAGTCTCCTTGCATATTTTGCATAAGATATGTTATTAACAATTTTTGTCTTTTGTATCTCTTTAGTTTGTCTTGCTGCAATACATCCTTTATGTGCCAGAGGGTGATTCCCACCACAGTAACTACACTTGACCTCTGCCCATTCTATACAATTATCATAGGAATGTTCATCCCCACATTTACTGCATCTCATTTTCCCTTTACAAACATTTTCTTCATGCCCATTTCACTGGTACTTACAACACTTTATGAGACTG